AGAGAGCTAGGGAGAGCACACTTTTATCAATTTAATATAGATAAAGTAAGAAGTCATTCCAGTGTATAGGACAGTACAAAAAACAGTTTAAAAAGGGAGTGATTAGTAAAATATGCATAAATAAAAACATAGAATGCTAACTAGGTAACACAAGATAAGAATAAACCAGTTTAAATGACTTGTTATTGGTTGTGATCATATTCTAAAGATGATTGGATTATTGAAAAGTATACAGCTCCCTTTCATATGAGTGTTGAAAGCTGTATCCACAAATTCACCAGCATTTATGGATACACCAGAGTGCACCAGCATTTCACTTCAACATTTTAAAAAACATCTTCCCGGGGAAGCACGCCCCCGGACCCCCCTAGAGGAGCTGAGACCCGTCCACCCCCAAATAAAGCAGGTTAAAATAATTAGATTGCAAACATGTTCTTTTAGTAAACACTGAAAACGGGTCCCATAGACCCAAACAGCACACACAGGTTAAAGGTAAGCATATAATGTTAAAATGTGCTAAATATATACACTGCAAAAAAACAAAAAAAAAAGAGTAAAAGTAGCCCCCGACTTGCTTTATTTTTTGAAATTAGCCCTCATCCGAAAAAAGGTTGGTGACCCCTGGTGTATAGTGATGTTCCCTCAGTGTGTGATTGATTAACTCCTTCATGCATGCATTACAACAAACTAAGGATATTTTCATCTTCATGAATGAAAAAAAATAACAACGACATTTTTATAAAACAGATTTTGCCAAGGAGTTTTTCAATTGAAGTAATGTGTTTACCAAACCAATGAACAAAATGATACATTGTGAAAAACTATAAAATACAATNAAACACTGAAAACGGGTCCCACAGACCCAAATAGCAAACAAAGGTTAAAGGTAAGCATATTAACGTTAAAATGTGCTAAATATATACACTGCAAAAAACAAAAAAAGAGGAGTAAAAGTAGCCCCGGACTTGTTTTATTTTTTTAAAGTAGCCCTCACCCTAAAAAAGGTTGGTGACCCCTGCTCTAGGGCATGCACAGGGCACAGCAACTCAGGCGTGCCGTTCTCCTGTGGGACGTTAAAGCGTGCCAGCTGGATATTGGAGTGGGCTAGTGGAAGCACCTTGGGCAGGAACGCCACGTTCGGCCATAGGGTAACACCCGAGCCATCGGAGTTCCACCTCAGGCATGTATCGCTCACGGAGAGGGCATGTAGCTCTCCAACTCGTTTCCCTGAGGTCATGGCAAGCAGAAATGCTGCCTTTAAGGACAGCCTATTAAGCTCCACCTGGGAGGAGATGATAGGGCATCCGGCAGCATGGGCAGGTCCCAAGCCGGAGCCCTCGGGGTGCTAGGGGGATGCTACCTTAAAGCCCCTCTCGGGAAGAGGGACACCAACCTGTGGCGCCGTCGACTCGAATAAGTCGGGCAGAAATAGCAGCCACATAAATTCAGAGTGGAGTGAGAATGCCCACTATCTAGAAAGGACTGCTGTCTGGGCAACAGCGTACATGCTGTCCCAAGGAACACGCACATCTTCGCTCACCACCCGCTGTTGACCTCGGACCCTTTGTACGACAGTTCCAGGCCAAGACGCTTGCGGCCTTTGTAACCGACATTCAGCCTCGGGCTTCGGGACCCTAGCAGACCGACACCATCCCGGTGCCTCATTTACCTCATACTCTGTGTTTGTACGCACCTGCGTATCCTCGTCTGTGTTTGTCCTATTCTGATCCTTCATATTCTCTGCTTGTTTGTCTACTGGTCCCTTAACAACCCGAGCCTTGGTGATCCGTAACCCTAGTCAGTAGTTCATCCTCTAGAGAAACGCTCGGAAGCACCTGGGGGTTTTTGAACTATACTATGTAAGAGGTCTGTGATTCTGACGGATTACATTTACTCCTCGATGGACTCTTACTCGTGAGTTAATAATTCGCGATCGACGTATACCGATGCACTTTTTATTAGTGAGTATACTGGATTCTTATTGTTTTCTCGAACTATCATTTTTATTGTTCGTATCTCTATATCCTTTGCGCCTCACTAAACATTTTATTGCTGTCTGTATCCGAAATTTCTTTTCTTATTCGATATGATAGAACAGTCTATCTCTTATTATTGTATCTGTCCTTCGATCAAAAAATAAGAACCGAAGCATCGAATAGGAATGTTCAAGACGGTTCGAAACAGAAGTGTATGGACACAAACGTACGTGACTGATAACCTGTCATTTTTTTTGTTTTTCGTCAAATTTTCCTTACACTAATCATTGTTACCTCTCGTATTTATCCTTTAGCTTTCTTACTCGATTGATACCCATTGTATTCTATTCTTATTTGTTCAATTTACTAAACAATAACCAAACACTAGTATAGATAAGATTTCTACTAACCTAATAACTTTTCATATGTCGAGGAAAGTATACTCACAACTTCCGACAAGGTGTTAGTGGTCTTAAATACCTTATGTGGTCTCACCGTGGTCGTAAGTGAGTTGTAAAATTTTGTGCAGATCCCTACTCGCCAAAGTGCATATTTTTATATGAGGTCTCTTATTAGCGTTCTGCAAGGCGTTTTGACATCGAAGGTTTACCAGACGGACCCAGTTAAAAAAGACCAGCCCAAGCATGACAGTTGCCAAAACACTTTGTTCGTCCTGGGGTTTACGTCTATTTTGACTTTTAAGGAAATAGAAGTCCGATACTAATATATCACTATATATTTACTGTTTTGTCTTTTGAGTGACGTCTTGATAGGTACCTTGTTCTGGGATTGGCTGGTTCTGTCTGTCTTTTGGGTCTTTGAATTTATGTGTAGTTCTGATTAGTGTGTTGTTCTGTGTCCACCTCCTCCCTCCTCTTTGTGTCCCCGGGTCACTGTGTTTAGTCTGCTAATCATGTGTTGTGTCCCTTTGATCTGTTCTCTTTTTGTGTCCCTTTCCTGGTCTGTCTATTGGGGGTTTCCTTTTGTCTGTACCTTATTGTCGTTTGTGGTTTTGGATGTTTGATATTTGGCACTGGTATTGATACTCTTAGCACTGTGTCCTTTCAGCCAAAACAGCCGTCGCAACGGAGGGTGAGAGCCAGGTGACCTCCCCGTCCGGATAGAGGACTAACCCGTCACGGGTACCGGCGGTACGGTCATGGGCGGTCCTCTTGGAGTGGTATTCACGTCCAGAGAGTCCCACCCACGTCATGCCGTCCCGTCCTGGCAAGTCACCAGGTCACCAGGCGGGTCCTCCCAGTGCGGTACGGTTGCACGATCTCGAAGCCCGACCGTCGAACGTGAGTGCGTGAAAGGATGCTGGTTGACNAAACATCTTCCCGGGGAAGCACGCCCCCGGACCCCCCTAGAGGAGATGAGACCCGTCCACCCCCAAATAAAGCAGGTTAAAATAATTAGATTGCAAACATGTTCTTTTAGTAAACACTGAAAACGGGTCCCACAGACCCAAACAGCACACAAAGGTTAAAGGTAAGCATATTAACGTTAAAATGTGCTAAATATATACACTGCAAAAAACAAAAAAAGAGGAGTAAAAGTAGCCCCCGACTTGTTTTATTTTTTTAAAGTAGCCCTCACCCTAAAAAAGGTTGGTGACCCCTGAACTAAAGGATATAAGACTAATGTATTCAAATTGTATAGTATAAAAATAGATTGGGTTAGTGCCGTCTCATTTAGATCCTCTTCTAATGGGCTTGTGCACAACAAGCCAATCATAAAGCCACATGCACGTCTAATACATTGCATGCAGTTAAGTGTTGTATTTCATTCATTGGGCCACCTGTGCTACAAAGATGTTGTGCTCTTTCATAGTGTGCACACATCACCAGGGTTCAGCCTTGGGTCAGTGTGCTGGGCTCCCATCATTAGTCTGATAGGCAGGCTGTGAAGGGATCTAATTGGTCGGTCAGTGAGTGTAAAATGTGTTGTACACACATGAACAGAAGACAGCCTCATAAAGTGTACAGTGAAAAGGTTTGTCAGAGTGCAGAGCTCCAGGATGGACGACACAAAGCCTGCAAGTGGCTGGACATTGGACAGAATGTGACCTGGGCATTGGCACATACCGCGCAGGAAATAATGTGCATTTGCACCATACAAACTCATCCCAATTTGTCGTAAGTGTTTAGGCTATGTCATTAGTGCTTCAAATACACTCCACACACAAACACAAATCCCACAAGGTGGTCAGCATGGTCTAGTTGCCTTGGATTGGCTGAGGGTTGTGACAGGGCTGCAGTGAGGGGGCCTTGTTGTGAAGAAGGGCACACTGAGGGTCAATTGTCCTGCTAGTGAATGGCCTTTTTCCTTTGGTACACAGTAATGAACAAGGAAGGGTCATTCTTTTCCTGTCCAAAGTGAACTCTCCTCCTCTGATGTATTTACGACCAAACATGAAGTTCATGGGGTAAAAAAACATTTTTACCACATTTGGTTCGTTAGAATATTTGATTACTCTGTTAGCTCTTTGCTAAAGCAGTTGTTTAGAATGGAAACGGAAACATGTATATAGTTTGCTATTTAGATTTGCATCTCCATTTACTTAGTTACTTCAGTAATGTAATACCAGATTAGTAAGCAATCTATTACTGCCTACTGTGGTTAAAAGTTTAAACTCTGACCACAGCCAGCCTCACTTATACTCGTACATTTAAGGCTGGGGCTCAAATGCAATACTTTTTTGATAATATTTGTTCCATTTACTAAATACATATACTCATTCTTTACTTTATATGGATGTCTCTTCATGGACTGAATCATGTTTACAAGGTTTTAACTCGCATGGTAAACCATGCATTTTGAGTTTTTGTTTGGTTCATGTTTGTTTAAATGTATATTTTGTTGTACTTCTCAGGCTGTGTGCAATTTGATTTTCATCATTGTTTTAATTTGTTATTTTCATTATTTCGGGTCCTACATTTTTGAAAGGGAAAACTCTGTTGAACCTTTGGCAACAACATGCTTTTTCAAAGTATATTTATTATACATTTGTATATATAGTCATTATATATATACATATATATTTATATATATATAGTACCATGCTACACCTCAGTTGATCTCATATACTTGTAAGTGTGCCGAGCTGGGTAGTAGTATGGCATGGTGCTATAGCCTATGTTAGTTCACAGTTGGACACTGATGGGAAAGGGGTGCGGTCACCAATAGTTGATACTTGGCAAGCAAGATTATAGATAGTGTGACGTAATCTGGGAACTTTAAGAGTATTACACTTCTGAAGTTGTTTTAATATTAGTGTTCATGAGTCACATCGTGATGAAATGCTTAGTTATTGATACCTTTTGGACTCCAGCTGCTCCTTTAGTTTGCTGTACATTTCTAGCACTGAAAAGGAAGACAAGACGGGAACAGGATCAGTAACAGGATCGGTACTTGAAGCCATTTACTGTGCATACAAGATAACACATGCTAGACCAAAGTGTCTGACCAACCCAAGACAGGAAGTTATATTAAAGTTTATACTTTACTAATAACTCAAAACAGTGGCTAACTAACAAGTCTACCGTAACAGGAGGGTTATCTGTCTGGCAATAGATCTGCATGCCTTTGAGCAAGGCACCAGACATCCACACCGCTCCCCTGGCGCCTTATAATAGTTGCACACTGCTCCAAATACTAGGATGTGTTATATGCAGGGATTAACTGAGAATGCAGGGTTGATTAGAAAATAATTCATTTCAAATCCTCCATTTCCACTAAATACTATATACATTCCTACCTGCACACATACATGGACTCCAGTGGCACCCTGAAGTCACATAGATGACTAACTAGAATAAAGGGACCATCATCTTGACACACATGCAGCAGTGGTACCTGGTATACAGAGCTGCAGCTTCTCCACAGTGGTGGCCATGTTCCTCTGCTGGATGCGGCAGCGAATCACCTCTTCTGTCTGACACGTCACCTGAGGGCAGGAACACACAATCGAAGGAAACACTGAGAGAGAGGCCTCCACTGTTCACCACTGGGTTAAAGAACGGTCATGTGTAATGCACAAATGTGTAATGCACAACTGTCTTTGCACAACAAAAAGCACACTTGTTGTCCTCAGCACATTCATGCATACACTCATAAGTGGACTTACCTCCCTCCCCGACTCCTGTAGCCTTCGATTAGTGTCCGTCACCTGACCCTTTAAAAACAAACAGACAGTTTAAATGTAGAGACTCAGAATCTCTACATTTATTTTGTCTTTGCTCCGCCTTTGGTTCCTACAACTTTCTGTTTAATGTCAAAACATATATTGTCTTTTTCCTCTGCTATATGCTATATAACTATCCTATAAAAAAAAAAACAATAAACCACAGTTTCCTTTAGCTGGTAATTACCGCAAATCTAAATCTCTCCGGTCAAAATGTCCGGTCAAAATAATTTCCCCTTCGCACAATACCGCATCAGTTGCGCCACTTATGTGAAAGACAAGAATAGTCCATTCTAATGTCTAACATTTAATGTGGAGAAAGAGATGTCCTGTATGGGTTGATTGTGCGTTGATCTGTTGGTAATGCCTCCGGTGGGCATGTAAACAAATGCATAATGCTGCGCTATACTTTGCGGCCTCACCTGGTTGCACAGCNCAGCAACGCTGATTGTTTAGGTGTCTTTTAATAAGCAGGCAGTCATATCATTAGCTAGAACTAGCTAGATCAGATCGATATGGACATAAACGCGAGTGAAGTCTAATCTGACGGGAGAGAGAGATCAGCTACTGCTGACGAGTCGACACTCAGCTCTGCATGATCACCTGCAGCGGTGAGCAGAGCAACACACACACTTCAGGTTAGAATATCACACGTAGCTATTTTAATTACCTCTCAAACTACCTAAACTATGTAGATATGTTTAGTAGATATGTCGGGTCACTCATTACTGATCCGCGAGCTGCATGAGCTAACGGGCTGTCAGGAGAGAGAGCGCTACGTTTATTATTCCCGTGTTATTGTAAATTACTGTACACTTTTGAATAATGTTAATCTACTATAATTAGTTTGTTTAATATCTAAATCATATTAATTTGTTTTAAAGCTCAATAAATAACAAAGAAGACCTTTGACCGGCACTTTTCTCCTTTTGTCCGGAAGATTTAAACTTTAACGGACATGTTGACCGGCAAAAAAAACTTTCTAACGGAAACTCTGCAATGAACACACACTGTGTAGAGAAAGCCGCCTGATGCCATAAAGATTCGCTACAACACCAAATATATATTAATCTGCAGCAGAAAATAATCCCAGACAAATGCACCGCTTCCTGGAGCAACATTTGCTACAAAATACAGCATTTAGCTGTTACAGTATTTACTCAAATATATATTGAATATACAAAATATTTAAGATTTTGGTTTTTAGTAGTATTCAATGGGCTTGGTTGACTGAACTCCATGGACATTGACCGCCTTATACATTGTTGGATTTTGTCCTTACATTATATTTGTGACTTAAAGGGGTGAAATGTCATAAGCCATATCTTTTAAAAGTTGCTGCATGTAGAAAACAAAAACATGGCCGAGGTTTAATTTGAAAGCTTATCATGAGGATATCTTGCAATGTTTCATCTATAAATAAGGGGTCTTCCTCTCATTGATATTAAGGTAAAGGTGGTGAAAATATGTATTCATAATGAGACGTTCAGGTTTCTGTGACTCATCACTTATCTTAAAGACTCTAAAACACAAATACTGGTTTATTGACATTCTTGAATTGCTCCATGTTAACAAAACCACGACTGTTAAAGGTCCCATGTCATGGCCATTTCCACTGATCATAATTCCATTGTTGAGGTCTACTAGAATAGATTTATATTGTGCAATTTTCCAAAATCACTTTGGTTTCTCATACAGCATCTCTGTAACAGAGATGCTGTATGAGAAACCAAAGTGATTTTGGAAAATTGCACAATATAAATCTATTCTAGTAGACCTCAACAATGGAATTATGATCAGTGGAAATNGCATAGAGTGTATTTTTTTATTTTTTTTTTTGGTTTTCAAAAAAAAACCAAAAAGGGGGGGTGGAAAACCCCAAAATAAATGAAAAAAACGGGGGGTTAAATTTTCACCACCTATTGTTTTTTTTTAAGCCAAAATCAAAAACCGGTTTGGGGGGAAAGGGGGAATTTTTTATCCTATAAAAAAAAACCCCTTTCTGAAAAAAAAAATTTGGTCTGGTTTTTCCACCTCATTTTGTAATTGGGTGGGATTGTCCCCCCGCCCCTTTCGTTTTTGGGGCCCCGCGGACTACCGGACACGGCTTCTTTTTTTGAGCAAACCAGTGAGTAATGTAATAGAAGTTTTTAATATAAGGCCTGGAGATATATACGTATTAGAGTTGAATATGTTATGGAGGGGACTACCCACTAGGGTGGAGGCATATCTCTTTTTTTTTTTGTTCTCTTTATTATTAACACATTTTATATTATGCTGAGCAGTGTGGCAATATTTTCTTCGCCCTACATACTATACTGGTTCTATTATGTCACAATTTCATCACATACAGAGAGACGAGGAGGATACATTATAGGGGATTTCTTTTTCTTGTAGACTAATGTCAACACATAAGTATACCTACACTCTCTACATAGGTATCTGTCCCGTCAAAGATGGTAAATCAGAAAAGAACTCCACACACACATGGATAACTAACATCGTGGACTACAGGGACACAAAACACAATGAAGACGTATAGAAGACCCCAGAACAGAGATGAAGTATATAAACACCTAGAGAGGAAAAATACTATAACATTCGGGAGGACGGGAGTAGCCACCCCCACGACTGTCGGGAGTGTGCACAACGGGGAACAAGGAAAAAAAAACCCCGGGCGCACAAACAACCAGGAAACGAATTCTATTTGGTAATGAAAGCACGTGGTGTCATGTGTGTCGGCCCCGCACCCCTGGCAAACACTATGATCGACAAGAATGTGGCGGTCAAGGAGGAGAGGAACCACTTTCCCCAGCGAGGGCGACGCCGTTGCAACCGCATCAACCAACCGTGGTTATAGGCACCACATGTCTCGTCCTCCCGCACAACCTTTGTCCGTCGGACAGACACGTATTACCTCTGGCCTCATGAGACAGCAGGCCACTAGATGTTCTGTCCGCGACCTTGTTCGGGGTAAGGTTTTTAAAAGGATGTAAATACAAATGCGGCGAGCACCATTGTCGGTTACACTGAAACAACATGGTGGGGTGTATCTTTCTTTTTGCCATGCTGGTAGAGAGTCGTTAACAACAATTTGGGACCCAGCGCGCCTCAGGCGTCATGACACATGGTTAATTATCACGTGGAAAGAGAAAAACGAGGGTAAAAAAATAAGTATAAAATTACAACAGAAGAAGTGGTGTTCTTACGTTGGCTCTACTACGAACACCAATTGAAGTTATACAAACATTTTTCTTTGCAGACACTCAGCGAGGGGGCTCGAGACAGTGCGCTTAATCGTGTGAGAGATGGGGAAGCCGATATACGGGGCATCTCGGAATCATAAAAAATAAGCTCAAAGAAAGAAGAAAACATTCGTTAGTTTGCCCTTTGACTATATTGACTATTGCCGCGCGCACACCACCAACGCCAAACTCACCACAGCGGCTCATCGTGTGGATAGACAGGAAAATGAGCACATCAGGAACGGGGACCACGGCCGGCGCAAACCACGCCCACGGATATACCACGCGCGCCGTTACATTATACACCACCGATGAGACAAAAGGTCTGCGCGAAGATATATCTTCGCGCGGCATTGGTCCTTGTGTGGGGGTGAGTTTTCTATTGGAAGGATCGACGCGACCCCCACGTGTCACACAAAAAAAAAAAACAGGAACGCTTTTTTATTCGGGCACCACATGTCTACGCTTCTCTCTTTTTTTTCAATATGCCGGACTTGGCAAAAAATTTTGTTTTTTTTTTTTTGGGGCAAAAATTATGCCCGAAGGGCGTGTCTAACCCAAAGGTAAGAAACGGCCACTAGCCCGTGCAGTGACATGGGTCCTTCCTTTTTCTTTCTTAGAGGTTGCGTCCCGCGCAAGACCCCGTCCGCCGTATCCCTAGTCCATAAAAAGACAATCTCAAACATAAGCGATGTCCACATGGAAACGTCCCAAAACACTTGAAACGTCTGGCAAATGTACTGTATTGTTTGGAAGTATTTGTGTGTTCCCTGCCATTGATTCGGCCTTTTCGTAACTGTACCTGGAAATTTCTTCCAATAGTGGTTTTCGTAAAAGCTCTTTACAAAAATCTCTCCGCACCAATTAAGGATGGAAAAGTCTTCCTTGTAAGACCCTTGGCGGTTGATTCTGTGAAGGGCGACTTTGTAAGGATCGTTGTAAGAGTCTTACAACAAAATCTTGGTTTTTGGACAGATCGACCGTTCCAAAACTCGACATAACCCATTTGTGAAAATGTTATTCCATGTCTTTTACAACGAATCAATGACCAATCAGCTTATTCCTCGCCTGATCCCTATCAAGTTAAATTATTATTAATTATACGTAAAATAAATATTCGCGACAAGTGTTAGAGTTTCTGCGAACTATCAAAAGTTAACTATCTAAACACTCAGGCTCAGGTGAGCTAAAGGACTCTCTCTCAGTCTGAGAGGAGAGCTCTCCTCCAGCTTGTTGTGGAACAAACAGCTGTCCGTTAGTGCAGCTAGCTGACCAGATGCTAACAACACGGTCCCTGCTGCTGGCACCGGTCCCTCTCTCTCTCCCCCTCTCTCACACACACTAAATGCGCTATTTCCGCACACACACAGAGTCGCGAGCTTGAATGACAAGCACACTTTTATTTCCATGCAACTCTCTGATTGGTCTGGTGTCTTGCCTCTGTTGCATTCACTGAACACAGGAAATTACAGTCCTTCCGTCCTCTCTAGTGTCATGATGAGGTTCACGTAAATCACGGTTAATGTATTATATTATTGAGGTAGAATTGTCCGGGGCTACAGAAAAAACATGCGGGGCAGGCCAAAATATTAATTTACCAACAATGTGGAATTTATTGGCTACATATTACACAGATTATGCACAGCGGGAGCAGCAATAACCGTCAAATAATAATTCAGGCAGGGGAGCTCCGCACCCCCTGCCTGCCGCTAGGGGGTGCTGCAGCGCCCTCAGCACCCCCCTTCCCGCGCCCATGCCTGTGACCCCCTGATCCCCACACCAACGCACTAGTCCACTGCACCACACGCCTCACTATATGGGTGTGGCTCAAAATCATGTTTTAATTTTGAGATGGATCATGTTGGTCAGCATATTTTGATGAGTCATCCTTTACCTCCTTTAATGTTCTTTTTGTCTTTCAACAATACCATGTTTTCATACTTAAAATGTCAAAATTTGATGAGCATAAACTTTTCAAAACTTTAACAAAAACAATGTTTCCGGTTTGTCAATCAAGACAATTTGTTATGGAAAATTCCTTGGAAGGTTAAAAAACAACAGGACAAAACTTAATGGGTTTGATAATAGCAGAGATATATTTTTAAAAGATAAAACCATGTAATATTTACTAAAATGAAGGGATTGTGATGTTATGAAAATGGGGTTATATGAGGTACTTCTCCATGATAAGTGCTACATTATATGCAATTTAGAGCCAGTCAGATGTAAGTACAGCACAGAAAGCCAAACAACATACTGCTGGGGATGGGGGAAGAAGCAAAAACATATTTTAGAAACATAAAAACAAATCTGAATCTGTGTAACCTCACACTATATTAAGAATATTTTCACTGCCTTATCTTAAGTCAGCCCTTTAGGTGGAGAACTGAGGCTGTTATCTATGCAAGCTTCAAACCCAAAATAATTAGGACACTGAAGAGGCTGGCTTTAGGAGGCAACAACATACATATATGGCAAACAGTGATCAGAAAACGACATGTGCTAAAGTATCCCTGTTTCTATCAAAGTACTCTGGATTTAGTTTTGAGCTTCCTTAACGAGAACCAGGTTGCTCAAATCCAGGCCTCTGAAACCAGGATATGATGTGTACATGTACGTGGGCATAACCAAGACACAGCCCTGATCCTACCAGAGATACAGGTGTATGTGTGAACTGCATTCAGCTGAGCTCATTACTGATGTCCTCTGGTTTACAAGCTCTTCAGTCTTACTGCTTTGAAAACTGGACCACTGTTACTCTTCAATTCAATTAGCTTGTGTAGACTTACATTCAGCCACAGTGTGCCCTTATTCTACAGTGTGAGACTTGTTAAAACCCTCCTGTCTCTGCTAACATTAAACATGCCATTAATCACTGCTTCAAAGACAAGCCGCTCTTACCCTCCAACATTCCACTCTCTCTCTCCCTTTATCTCCTATATTCCTTTTATTTCTATTGCCTCTCCTTGTCTTTATTGTTTCTCTCTTCTTCCCCTCCCTCTGGGGTTAATCAGCACAGTTTTAGGTCACATTGCTGTTTCAAATCCTTTCAAAGCTTGTGGTGGTTTAAGCTGGAATGTGATTAACCTTGTACAATAAAAGCAGCTGCATGGTACATGAAGTCCGCCTGTCTGCAGCGCCTGACAGTCTGGAGCACACAGAGCACCTTTACACACTTCAGTGCTGTGGTTTTGGTTTACAAATACATCAGTCTTTTACGGATGGGGTTTTATTGAGTATGAAACTCCTGAGACTATATGCACCACCCTGTATTATGCATGCAGCACACATGAGGCTGATTTGAAATGCCTCTACAGGTGTTAGTAAGCAGACTGGTTCCTGAACAATTCTTTATTTACTGCTTCCTTTAATGACATTATATTACATTCATTGATAGTAGCTGACACTGTAACCCAAATCAAGTGAGCAACAAACAAAGAGTGCATTCAAACATATGGGAAATATGAACATTTCATGTCATGGTTATCCCGCCCAAAACCATTTCTTTTCAGGATATTATTCCAATAATGATCAAATATTGCCTTAAAGAGAGCACTAAAACATGTTGTTAAGAAACAAATATATATTCACATCCCTTTATGTGAATATCCTTTTAGAAAAAAAACAACAATCTTAAATAAGGTACTCATAAATCATTAGCTCCCCCTCCATTAATAAAAGATACATGAATTAGGGCTGCAAGATTTGGTTAAAATAACTCATTTAGATAACGATTCAGAAGGGATTCATCATTTTGCATCATTATTCTCTTTTGTATTGGAAAATATATGAAAATGATCACGGTGTGATTTGTAGAGGATCTGTAGCAAACAAATACGTTTAGTTAAGTCTGTAGAATACTGATTGTAGGCCGGGATATCTCTGCAGCTGCACAAAACTTATTGTGCCTTCTTGCGATTTGAACATATATCTTGTCCATTATGCCATTTTGATCAAACTTCGATAAATGGTGCAGCCCTAACATAAATACAATTATAACATTATAACAAAGCAGGCCCCATTTTCTACATCTCTACTATCCGATCCAATCCACTTTATTTCTATAGCACATATTAAAACAGAGGGTTTACCAAAACAGCAAACATAACATTATAATGAAATATAATATTACAATAATAGATCAAAGGCACAAATAAGAATGAATACAAGGTACCCAAAGGCTATGGACAGAAAATAAAAGCATACAAATGGATAAGACATAGCTCAAACTGACTCGAAAGCCAGGGAAGAGAGGTGGGTCTTTAGGCGGGACTTAAAAGTTTAGAGGGTGTGCGACAATTTGACATGGTGGGCAGGTCGTTCCAGAGCCTGGGGGGTATCGCTGAGAAGGCTCGGTCTCCCCTGGTCTTTTTCTTGGTTTTAGGCACTACTAACTGATCAGCCGACCTCAAAGCCCTTGAGGGGGTGTACACCTTTAGGCTTTAACTATGATGCTTGAAAGCCTCTGCAAGTCTTTGTGAGGGTGTTCATGATTATCCCAATAATGGAAATTTACTAATATCATATTCACTTATTGCAAATATAGTTAAAAAAAATGATCACTAGTGAACACCCCAAAAAATGCCAGAATGATGCATGTACATGGACTTGAGCTGTTGCATTTGATAATGTGCTCCCTGGTATGTGAGCCGCACTGTGCCAAGACTCGCCTCAGGTTATGTCTATACATGATACATCTATCCAGACTCAGAGATGATTGGCATGGAACAGCCTGAACAGGTCGCCATTTGATTACAGGGCTGACGCATAGAGACACATTTATATCCTCATATTCACACCTACAGGCAGTTAAAGAGTCTCTGACGACCTACCCTGCATGTCTTCTGACAGAACCTTCTCTCTCGGGAGGTGGAGCTCAATACTGCACCACCTGGCCAACATGATTTATAATCATGCCAATATTAGATTTTCAATATACATTTTCACAGTTATAATACATACATTTGAAACGTTGAGTAAATAACGTCATTAGCTTAGCATAATTAGATATTTTGGACTCATTCTAGACTCAATGTAGACATAAATAAATCTTCATTCCCAATTCTTTAATTTGTTGTGCCTCTAAAACTGTCATTTTTGGAAGCAATAACAGCCTGTGACTTTTGATTTCCATAGAACAGATGATTCTGAAGATTAATGATCAGACTTGAATTAGCTATTAGCTCTGTGGTTATTTTGCGCTGATG